GGGGTGAGACCCTCCCCCGGGGGTGAGATCCTCCCCCGGCGCCGCCCCCTCCTCATCCTCCCCCCTCCCAACCCCGGCGGGGCTCACCTCGTCGGAGAGGTGATCGCAGCGGTCGATGAGCTGCGCTCGCAGGGCGTGGGGGGCGTCCCCGGGGGTCTCGGGGTGCCGGTGGGGCCCCAGCAGGAAGAGCACGAGGCGCTGGAGCAGGGCAGGGGCGCGGATCTGCCGCACCGTCCCCGCCAGCACGGCCGTGGCGCCCAGGACGGCGAGCTCCGACCTGCCAGAGGGGTGGGAAGCTGTGAGGGGGGGTGTCCAGGGGAAAGGAAGCCCCGTTTCCTGGCTCCGAAGGGGTCCCGGAGAGCGGAACAGCCTCAGGCACTCACATCTGCAGGAGCTGTGGCTGCAGGACGCCCTGGAAAAACTTCTCCTCCACGGCCTCGGTGATGGCGTCGGCCACGAGCTGGGGGAGAGGGAGAGGATGGGCTTGGGAACCCCCCCAGGATGAGAGGGCACAGCCTCGAGCTGCGCCAGGGGAGGTTTAGGTGGGACATTGGGAAGAATTTCTTCACAGAAAGGGTGATTGGACATTGGAAGGGGCTGCCCAAGGAGGTGGTGGGGTGCCCACCCCTGGAGGTGCCCGAGGAACGACTGGACGTGGCACTCGGTGCCCTGGGCTGGGGGACAAGGTGGTGGCACGTCACAGGTTGGACTTGGTGACCTCAGAGGTCTTTTCCAAGCTGACCGACCCCGTGACCCTGTGATTCTCACCGGGTGGGCTCCCATCACCAGCTCATCCAGGTAGTCCAGCCAGCACAGGAAGGCAGCCAGGCTCTCTTTCCCCGGGAAAACCCCGTCACCGGCGGCCTCCCCCTGCGACCTGCGCGGGATGGGGGACACGGGGGGGAGGCTGTGACAAAACCCTGGTGACGCCCGAGCTCCCCTTCCCAGCGCCCCCCCCTCACCTCCAGCTGGGTCTGTCCATGGCCAGGACGTCGGCGGGGTCGGTGCCGGGGGGCACAGCGCTGTAGAGCTCGCAGAGGTGCCCGGTGAGCAGCGGGCACAGGGCGCTGCTCCTCACCAGGCAGGCGGCAGCCGCCTCCTGGGCCAGCCCCGCCAGCACCAGCAGGTTCTCCCGAGCCTTCAGCGCCACACGGCTCTTCTGTGACGAAGAGGAGGAGGAGAGAGGGGTCGTCACACGGCTGGCAGTGCCCGCTGTCCCCTCCTGCCACCCCTGTTTGTGCATACCTTGCTCCTGCACAGCCCCACCAGGGCGGTGACGAGGTTGCTGTCCCTCTGTGGTGGGCAGGGCTGGGCCGGGGGGCAGCTGGCAGTGGTGCCCGGGGGATGCTCCACACCCTCTTCCCTGGGGCTGTCCGGCAGCTCCTGGGATCTCCTCCCGTTCAGGACGCTCTTTCCCTGGAGAGGAAGAGGAGCAGCGAAGGAGCCACCACCTTCCTCCTCCTCCACCTCCTCCTCCTCCTCCTCACCCAAGCTTTGCAGCTCAGTGAGGGGACCCCAAATTGTCCCACTGGCACAGGGGAGCTGCTCACCTCCAGGATATAGGGCAGCAGGCTGGGATCCTGCTGGATCTTGGAGCAGAGGATGGCGGCGAACTGCACCTCCTCCTTCTCCGTGCCCGAGCCCAGGCGGCCGCTGCTGAGCTGGAGCAGCTTCTGGGGAGGCAGGGAGAGAGGGATGCGGGAATTCTGGGGGCTCTCCCACCCCTTCTCCGTGGGCACGGCTTCCCAGGGGGTGGTTGGCAGGGATGCAGCCAGCCCGGGGATGGGATCTCACCTGCACCGGCCTGTGCACGTTGAGGTAGTGCAGGAGTGGGTGCTGGACCTGCCCCAGCACCCGGCTGAAGAACAGCAGGACCTGCTGCCTCATCCCGGGGGGATACTGGGAATGAGACATGGGGAGGAATCAGACAGAGCCTGGTTACCTGATTTCCCCGTAACTGCCCCAAATCGCCCGCTGGCTCACCCAGGGGGGTGCCCCAAAACGATGCACGGACCCCCCCCAGCACATCCCACCTTCCCCGGGCTCCCTTTAACAATGATGGATTTAACTCAGTTCTCTGCACTGAAAAATTATTGGGGGATTATTTCCCCTTTTCCCAGTGATGGGGAGTTAAACCCCAGCACCCCAAAACCCCGAATCCTCACAGTCACAGAGGGGCCAGCACGTTTCCACAGCCCACACCACACTTACACCTGAATAAAAATCTATTTATAGGGGCCCCATTATTATTAGCAATAAAGGAGCAGCAGAGCTGTTATATTTGGGCAATATTTACTTTTCCAAACCCTCCTCATCCCACAAAGCCAAGCAGTGATGTGCCACCCCTTTCTACGCACACAGGGATGAGATGGGGTGCAAGAGCCATTCAGAGGAGCCCCAGAAAGGATCCCAATGAGGACCTCAAATTGAGGAATCCAAGACACTCTGAAAAAAGCCAAGTTTTCCCCCCCCAAAAAAAGCCAAGCCCCCTGACCGTCTCACGCTTCACAAAGTCCTGCTTCCAGCAAAAACGGTCAAAAATCAAAATTACTGAGTGGCACCACATCAAGGAGCTGGAAAAGACTGCGGGAGCTTCAGCTCTGGGGGGGGCTCCTTCCCCCCTGGAGCCGTTTTCCCGGTGCTGGGACACCCACCTCGGCCTTTCCCAGCGTGCCCAGTGTCTCCAGGAGCTTGTGCTGGAGCAGGTACTCGAGGCACGGCCCCGTCTCCCCCGCCGGCTGCTGCTTCTCCTCGTACACCAGGATATCCAACATCTGCTTGAGGCGCCAGGGAATGTCCGTCTGCCTGGCCGGGATGCTCTCGTCTGTGGATACAGGGATGGGGGGCTGCGGCGCGTCCCCCCCCCGCCCCGCTCCCAGGGAGCGATGCCCGGCTGGGACTCTCTCCAGCGGCTCCCCGATCCTCGCCGGCCCGGAATCCCGCTCCTCCCGGGCTGGGAATGACGCTAGATGGCAATGTGAGGATGGAGAGCCGGCAGCTGCTCCTTCCGCTCCCGGCCTAGGAAGGTGCCGGACATCCCGCTGCCCGTTCTCCCGGTGGGCACTGCCAGCCCTGGAGACCCCCCCCATCCCCGGCACAGCGGGAAGGACCAAGATCCCGCTGGGAATCGGGGTTGAAGCCTCTGCAGGCCCTGTTTTAGCGCTCCCGGGGAGCGGCGCGTTCCCGGCGGGGACGTGTCCCAGCCTGTCCGGCGCTCCCGGGAGTGTCCGCACCCACCCGAACCCCCTCCCCCGTGCTGACCCCGCTGGGGCGCCGGGGGTTGGGGCCGGGCAGGGCAGAGCTCCCCGCATGGAGAAATCCTTCCGGGGAATGGGAACGGGCGTCCCACGGCAAAGACCCGCGTGCCAGGTCTGCCACGGGGCACCGGGGTCCCGTCCCAGGGCGCGGGGATCCGTCCCAGGACACGGGGTGCTGTCCCAGGACACAGGGATCCCCTCCCTGGGAACCTTATTCCCAGGCCAAGGACCCTATTTTAGGGCACAGAGACCCTCTCCCAGGACACACAGTCCTGTCCTAAGACATGGGGTCCTTTCCCAGGGCACAGGATCCCCTCCCAGGGCACAGGCACCTTATTTCCAGGGCACAGGACCCTATTTCAGGGCACAGGGACCCTCTCCCGGGACACGAGACCCCTGTTCCCACACCACAGGGAGTTGACTCCTGCACCAGAGAGACCCCAACTCCGGGTACAGGGACCCCAACCCGGGGCACAGGGACCCCATATCGGGGCACAGTGACCCCATATCGGGGCACGGCGACTCTGTCCCCGCACCCCCCTCACCTGTGGCCTCCAGGTAGTAGCCGGTGATGCCCTTCCAGTGCTCGGTGAAGGCTTCCAGCAGGTCCACGCTGGGCTCCCGCTGCGCACACCGGGGCCGGGGTCAGGGGCGCACGGAACAACCCCTCCCGGTCCCGGTCGCGGTTCCGTTCCCATTCCCGGTCCCCCCCGTGTCCCCCTCACCGTCTCCACCGCCTGCTGCAGCAGCGCTCCCAGACGGCTCAGCATGGCTGGGACCCCCGGGACCACCCCCGGGACCGGCCCCGACCCCGACCCCCCTCCCGGTCCCGCCCCGCTCCCTCCCCCGGCGGCTCCGCTCCGGCTCCCGGCGGGATGGGCGGGATCGGGGCGGGATCGGGGCGGGATTGGGGACACGGGGAGGGGGCGGGACTGGAGGAGGGTGGGGAGAGGAGGGGTTGAAGAGGTGTCGTAGCCCTGGAACTGCCCCGCGGGGCAGCTCGCGGCGAGGGACGGACCGGGGGCACCGGGATGGGGATGGACCCCACACACCTCGCACAGGGACAGGGATAAACCCCGTGTACACTTCGCACTGGGATAGGGATGGACCTCACACACACCTTGCACTGGGATAGGGATGGACAAGGACAGCCCTCCCTGCACTGGGGTGGGGATATCCCTAATAATGCACCAGGATAAGGACAAGGACAAGGACATCCCCCTTCCCCAGCTCTCCCTTTCACACAGCACAACGCACGTTTTACGACATATTTTCTTTTTTAGTCCTTAAAAAAACCACAAAAAAACCCCAAAAAACATTTCTCCAATGAAAACCAAGCCCTGAGGAGCACAGCTGTTGGAAAACCACCCAGGGCCCAGCCTGGGTCCTGCCAGCTCCAGGGAATGGAGAACTGGATGCCCCTGAACTGTGTGTGCCCTGCCAGCTGCTCGATCCGGGGTGGATCCGTACCCATCCCTATAAATGGGGGTCCTGGGGGGGGCTGAGGTGCTGTCAATGCACAGTTTGTACCGGACCCACACTGGGGACAGAGCCAGCAGCTCAGGAAGTTGTACCTGGGAATTCTGTACCCCGAAAACGAGGTGCTGGGACGGGCGGGAACGCAGCGGGGAGAGGCTGGAAACCCACCGAGGGAGAGTTTGATATGGATATATCTATATATCTATATATAAAAAATAGATGTGCGTAGTGGTAGCGTTGATACTGGACGGATAAAAATCAGATTCCAGGTTGAATCCAGGCCGGTCCTGCACGATCCACGCGCAGCCGGGAGGCTCCCGCTCCAGCAGGTCCGTCTGCAGGCGGGCGGTCACATCGCAGACTTCATCTCCCACTCCTGGAGGGCGGCCCAGGAATGGTCAATCCCCCGTCTCCCCACAATGTGGGATCACCTGAGCCCTTCCCACCCCGCCTGGATCCCGGGGGTACCTTCCTCTTCTGCCTCACGTTCCCCTTCTCCACGATGACGGGCGACGGGGGCGGTTTCAGGGCGCTCCTCGCCGACGTGGTGCGTTTCAGCAGCGGCCTGAGGAATGATCCCTGGTGGGAAAACAGCAGAGAAAGAGTGAGGCAAACCCTCCAAACCCTTCGCTCTCCCTGCACCCCGTGTCCCCCACCTCGGAGCCGGCCGAGCTGGCGGTGGCAGCGATGTGGCCCTTCAGTGACTTCCCGATGGCCAGGAGGTTCATCTCGGAGCCGGCTTTCAGCCTCCCCTTCACACGGCAGGCCCTCTCCAGCTGTCCCACCTTCTCCTCCAGCTTGGGAAAGGCTCTCTTCCCTGCAAGGACAGCGGGAGCACTGCCAAGCCCGGGCACGCCTCGACCCTGCCAGTTGCTCCAGCAAGGACCAGGCAGCCCCTGGCACCGGGGCAGAGCCCCTCTGTGACCCTACCAATGAGGATGTCCAGCCCATCCCGAGTCCCTTTCCTCTCAGGCAGTGTCAGGGTGTGCTGGGATCGGGAAAGATCCCTGCTCCGGAGGTTGGGGGTCTCCTTTGGCTGCTGTGGGCTGGGAGCCCTGCCCCGGGGAGCTGGTGGGGGTGCTGGGGAGGAAAGGAAGAGGAAGGATGCTCAGGAGGAAGAGAAAGGGGAAGGATTCCGGTGAGGAAGGCCAGGGAAAGGATGCTGGGGAGGATGGGAAGAGGAAGGATGCTCAGGAGGAAGAGACAGGGGAAGGATTCTGGTGAGGAAGGCCAGGGAAAGGATGCTGGGAAGGATGGGAAAAGGAAGGATGCTCAGGAGGAAGAGAAGAGGAAGGATTCTGGGAAGGAAGAGTAGGGAAGTGATGCTGGGGAGGAATGAAAGAAGGAGGATGCTGGGGAGGAAGGGAAGGGGAAGGATGCACGGGATTAAGGACAAGGAAATCATGGCACAACACCACGTTCACGGGCACCACAGCCCCCACCCCAGCCCCCGGGATTGGGGTGCATGGGGGGACCCTGCTGCACTCTTGGGAGGAGCACCCAGCCCCTCTCACCTGCCTGTGAGGGCCGGGCACCGCCCAGGGCGTTGCTGCTGGCACAGGTGGGCAGTGCAGACATGGGTCTCCTGCGCTGCCCTTGCACCGCCCGGTCCAAACTCTGCTGCTGTGGAAGGAAATCCGGGAGAATCCCGCGGGCAAGAGGAGGGTGGGAGCCCGTCCCCCCACCCTGGGGGTGGCATGAGCAGGTTACCAGCTGCTGCAGCCGCTCTGCGTTGGAGTAGAGGTGCTTGGAGGTCTCGGCTGGCGGGGGCTGCCCAAAGGGGTCATCCATGTAGGTGTTGGGGGTGGGCACACGGCGCAGCATCAGCCCGCTGTGAGCAGGAGAGGGGGCCTGTTAGCTCCCACACCCCGCAGAGCAGCAGGAGGGCTGGGGGTGGCCCTGCCTCGTCCAGAAGCTCCTCACCTGGCAGCAGGGCGGCTGCTGGCATCGCCAGGCCAGGGGGGCTTGCTGTGGGGTCCGTCACTCGCCGGCTCCCCTCCTCCCCTGGCCCGCAGGGTCTTCAGCCAGGCTTCCCTCTCCTCATCCGACCGGGCCTGGTGTGGGGCAGGGGGGTCCAGGCTCAGCGTGTGCCCCCCCCTTGGAGGGAAGGACGTGGGGGGCATCGTGGCCGCCCCTCACCTGCAGCAGGGCGAGCTCCCGGCCCCGCTGGGCGATGCGGATGCGCAGGTTCTGGGGGGATCCGGCGGCCGCCCCGGGGGAGACCTCGCAGCCGTCCAGGCGCAGGGCGCAGATGGGGCGCTGGGCAGGGCCGGGCTCCGGGAACATCCGCAGGGCTCCCTGGCGCACGGCGCACCACAGCCGCTGCCAGCGGCCCCGCAGCCGCACCGCCAGGAACCCTGCGGGCCGGGAGACCCCCGTCAGAGGCGGTGCGAGGGGGGCGGGACCCCCTTTGCCCCCTCCCCACGCACCCCCCACCTCCTTTGGCGTCCTCGCCGGGCCGCGGGCTGCGGGCGGGGCTCTGCCGGGAGCGATTCTCCTCCTCCTCTTCCTCCCTGCCGAGCTGGGGGCGGGCAGGCTGAGAATGGGGGTGCAGAGAGCCCCGGCTCTGCGGGTGTCACACCCCCCCTCCCGCACCCTGACCCCCTCCCCACGCCAGCCCTTTTCCGGTGTCACCCAGCAGGGCCACCAGGACGTGGAATCGGGTGTGCTCCTGGCCCTATCCCGTGCCCGGGTCTCCCTGGACAAGCTCACCCTGCTGAGCCTCGAGGAAGGGGACGCCGGGGCGCTGAGGGCTGCCAGCCCCCCGGGGGCATCGCTGCTGACCTCCTCGATCACCTGCCGAGGGAAACGGGGAGCGCTGCACCCCGGGCTCCTGCTCCCCGTCTAACAGGGCTCCAACACCCCTGGGATGGGAGCTGGGAGCAGACAGGATCACCCCCAGCCCCCCCCGGGAGCACTCCAGCAGGGCCGTGCCCCCGTTTCTCCCTGCCCACCCCGCTCCTGCCCGGCTGCAACACCTCCAAACCTTCCTCCAGTCCTCAGCCTGCTGCCGGCTCTGGAAGCCGATGACCAGCACCTCTCCTGCTGTGCCTGTCACCTTCAGGGCGTGGGGCATCTTCTTGCCTCGCTTGTCCTTGTAGGTGACGCGGCAGCCCCGCAGGTCCAGCTCCAGCACCGGCTGCAGGTCGGC